CTTGGAGGAGAGACGAAACGTTTCACTAAAGAAGAACCCAACCAGAGGACCTACTTTTTTTTTTCTTTTTGACCTCTAATTTATGGTTCTCCAGAAGCAAAACGTTCCCTTAAAGTGTCTCAACATTAAATTTTGAGTAGGAGATACATGTCCCTCAAAACCTTATTAAAGCAATAATTCAGATTGTACAAATCCCRTGAATTACACAGAAAAGAAACACATTTTATGTTTACTTGCTTTATTTTGTATTTGAAGTTGGCCAGGTTCTGAGTGAAGCTGAGGATGTGACATCAGCAGAGTGCAAGCCACTGATTGGCCAAAGAGCAATGACAATCATGCACTCATGAGAAGGTCTTCACAAGAAACAAGCTCACCATTTAATAAAATCTCTCAATTTACCTAATTTAAAACCCTAAAACTTTACATATCTAACAAGTAAAATGGCTTCATATAAGCAAACATCATGGTACAATGAGGAGGTGCAGACGTGTGTGTGTTTGTTGGCTGATGGCAGAATTTAAAGGGTTTAGACCAGGCCTTCACCAGCAGAGGGAAGGCAGCCTTTACTCAAGCATAGCTTTTTAGGAAGACATAAGAGGATGGTGAGTGTTTCAAGACTTTATTTCACTTAGTTGCACATTGCTGTGTTGTGTTTGCATAGAAGGTTATAGGCGTCTGCAGGAACCCTGCCCTCATCAATACAGGAACCCTGCCCTCATCAATAGGTATGAACCTATCAAAGTAAATATCAATACCAAGATGAACATCGGTGTCGGATCGATCCTGGTGTGATGGCATAAATACTTTATTTGCGCTACTGACTTTATTTTTCACAAAGTGAGTAAAGTCAAAGTGAATCGTAGTGAAAATTGACAATGGAAGACTTGAAAAGGGAATCCCTATTTATTAATTAATTAATTTATTTATTTTTTACTTTATGAAAAAGCATAACCATTAAACTCAATGAAGCTGGTCCTCTCTGACCTTAAATTCATATTAACAAAAGAAACTAAAATTTTATTTAAAGAAAGCATTGCCTGCCTCCTCACATGTTCAAATTTTAACAAAGTTTAATACTTAAACAACACACACACACACACACACACACACACACACACACACACACACACACACACACACACACACACACACACACACACACAC